TGAAACAGTTTCATTAAAATTTCATTAAATATTATATGAAACAATTTCATAACCATATATGAAACAAATTCATCAAAAAAAAGTATTATATGAAATAATTTCACAAGATTAAACAATTTCATGAAAAAATTTCATAAGATTAAACAATGAAATCGACGTATGATGGTGGTTTGTATCCTGAGAGTGGTTTTTATTTGATCGCTCATCTCTCTCTCTCTCTCTCTCTATATATATATATATATATATATATCCCAATAAAAAGTGGTGCTTGATGCAGTGAAAGTGGTCCTCTGGTATAGGGCCAGATGGGTGACCCTGAGAAGGCATGACATTCTTGTAACAGGGACCCACTTGAATGAAGACAACAAATAAATATAAGAGAAACTGCATCCCCATGTGGAGCCCTTTTTTGTGAAAGTGCTCATAATTCATCCCATGCCATATGTATGTATACACATGATGCAATGCATTCTACACATGCATCTAACATCTAACCCCAATTGGTCATACCACCTATAACTTCTTTTCTATTTAGTTACTTACTAGGAACCCATTTTCAAATACACTGATATAAAGGGATATTTTTTTGACTCACTCAACGGTTAAGGCTAGTAATTAGACAAAGTCATCACACTTTTTCGCTAACTGAGTTACATGTCACAGACATCTCACATTTGTTTGACTCATGTTTCTTGTCGAAAAGTTTAGTATGGTTCATTTGATGGATTTTTCAGCGTCGGTATGTTTGATTAACAAACAAAATTATGAAAAAATAAACATGTGCAGAGATTTACCATGATATACATGTTTATGTATGTATACATGTGATGTGTGTTTGGGCATGCACCAAATGACCTGTGAAGATAGAATAGAAAAGGTTATCAATTGACATTGAAAACTATGTTTTACTTGACCATCCATCATGCCCTCCACCAAACATGACTTGGCCCACTCTTCCCAATATAGAAACACAAACTACATTTGTTACAACTCCACATTATTCGAATAAGAGTCAAGTCGAGTCCAGTCAAGCGAACGGAGCATAATCTCGTTAGGTTGAAGGCTTAGCTCATGTAACATAAATAGTTTTGGGTTCGGACTTTGGACTAGGGTCATGAAACTTCACCGCAGATTGAATTTTATGAGTCTGTATAAACTTGTATAATTTGAGCTCTCTGTTTGATTCATAGACTCTTTAAAAGAAATTAGTAGTAATATTTAAAAAAAATGGCATGTTTTATAGGTAGTTAAAACTGACCGAAAAGCTGTATGGCGTGTAGCTTTGTCAAAGTTGAGTTGTAGTAGGCTCATGCACAACTTGGTGCGGTTTGCTTTGGACTTGCCAAGCTTCTTGACGATTAGAGTAACGCCGAACACTTATAATTACAATTGTTTGTTCGTGTTATGTGGAGATGAATTATACGAAATGGTGATGTATACTTAACACTAAATTTTGGTGTAATGAATGATTTTTTAGATATTGTTAAATAATAAGTATTATTAGAAGAAGACAAGTAATAACGAAATAAATATTTACAAAATGGGGAAATTAGTATAACAACTCCACCAAAAGATGCATTTTTAATGGTCTAATTTTGTCATTGACTTTAATTATTAAATTAAATAATAAGTATTTTAAGAAAAATTAGGTTGTTAATTAGAGAATAGATATATAATGAGTTGAGGACCACACACTTCACAAGTTCGGATGCTTTTGACCACAAAGTGCAATTTTTGGTATGCTCAAATTAAATATTTGGTAATTATTTTTTTACTGTTTACACTTCTTTGAAAAACACGTCATTTCCGATCTTCATAAAACTTCATATCTAAATGTGAGACGTCAAAAAAAATTTATTGAAGAATTAAGTCGAGCATTTTTTTTCTGGGAACTTTTTTCCCTTCGGACTATTAAATAGTAAACACTCTAGACAAAATCGGTAAAATTCTTGGACGATTTTTTATAAAATAATTCAATAAAATTGTTCATGAAAACTCAAAAAGTTCTTTTTCAGCTTCATCATTAGGTTTGAAAAAC